TAGGGGAAAGAGTATTTCACACTCTGAGCATAATTTGCTGTTGCATTACAAACTATGAAGTGTAGCATGTATCTCAAATCAAGTAAAAAATGGTAACACTAAAGACAGTCTAGAGCAAAACACTTATCAGTTATAGATATCACAAGTAAGGACCTACACATAGCTCCTGCATTCTATGAAAACGATAGCTATCTTGAGTCCTATTACACTGGCAATTTAAGTAACAGGGTACTTCCAAAATTCCAGCAATGCTGCAATTTTCTTGTTACCCATTTGCTCAGTATTAAAGCCACCAAGACTATCACTGCTACATTAACAAGTAACACATACATGCCCTCTCTGCTATGTGCATTCCATGTTCAGCTATGTATATACCGTTTTGATATAATTAGGGCACCAGGTTATCTCAAATCAGTTTTTAATCAACTTAGTATCGGTATTCATGCAGATAAAATTAAGTCATTTCTATCTCTGAAAATGTGAGCGAACTGATAAAAACAGTTCTTACATCCCTACTTATTTGCCATTACAGGAATAGAACCAATAGGTCTTTTCCATCATCTTCCATGACTGACAAAATCAGAATCACAATAAGCTTCCTAACAGCTTTACCATCAGTTTTATCTTACAACTCAATCAGCAAGTCTATCCTGAGTCGGGTATTTTTCAAATTCGTCATTCTGTAAAACCTTTATGAAGAACACTAGTGCAATCCTTCTAAATGCATATTACTCAACTATAAACAAACACTTATTTTCACTAGAAAACATATATTTGCTTCCTTATTAAATAGTTACACATTGATGTGTTTCTATTCAAAATAACTTCTGGGGAAAATGTATACTTTTTAATAATGATGCACTACACACTGCAAGGCTTCAAACCAGCTTGCAGAAATGTCTCCTTCCTCACAATGGCAAGATACTTTAACCATCACCAGAACACAGATGTCACAACAAATTTTCTTCTGCATAAGTATGGTTTAGGCAAAATCATTCATTTGTTATGAGTAAAGCATACATACAGATTCCTTTCCAAAGTTTTTTCTTTCCCAGGTTAAATTTTCTAGAAATGTGTTTAACAGATATACTCTGTCGATAAACCTATTGTGACTAAGTTTGCAATGGTACACTGAGATGCAAGGACACAGTAGCCTTGAGAACACTTTGTATAAAATTTTATGCTCTTCCAAAGTCAAAACAGAAGCAGCTGTGTTGTAAGTTTTTCATAGTATGTACTGCACCACGCAGTTTAGCTAAACAGATTCACTATTAAGAATGGAACTTTTTTGACACATAGTATGAACTACGTAAGAATGAAAATGATGCCACTTATAATTAAGCATAAAATTATTCTCACTCAGTATTAGTAATAACATTCTCAAAATACTTTCCAGTGATTTTTTTATTGTTATCAGATAACTGCACGTTTTACAGCATAGTCACACATTGTATTTCGCTAGTCACAAACACATTGCCTTACATAATGATCCGCATCATTTCTGCTCTATACTACAAAGCCTATGACTGAATACAAAAAAAAGTTTTACAAAAGAAACCGTTTTAAAGACTACAATAACAATAGAACCGTTTCCAGATAACAGCTAAAATTATAAAGGCATATACTGTATAGTTTTACTGGAATTTCTAAAACAGTAAGGAATGAATTCAGATTTAGTATCTGCGACGCTTGTTAGGTCCTTCAAAGTTGCCCCCCGGGTTTCCTCTACCAAAGCCACCAGGTCCACCACTGACGGCACCTACACCACTCATTGGCGGCTGAGGAGTTTCAGAGCCCGTCCTACTAACCAGAGGTGAACCCATCTGTGATGGACCTCCTTGAGGGAATCTCTCATTATGCTAATACAAGTCCATTTGGAACATGCCAAATACGAGTTACAACAAAAACCACAAGTGATGTTGTCATGGAGTTCAGCAGATAGTCCAGCAGAATCAGGATCACACATAGAAGGAAGAAAGGAGCAATTCAATTAGTTATTATGGGAAAAGAGCTGGAAATTAAAGAGTGCTAATGTTATGCTCCAACTTTGTAAAGTAAATTAAAAATTAAAAGCAATACTTAAGATCAACTCTGGTGCTAAAAGTAACTTCATCTTTACAAGCACATCTATAGTAATATATATTCTCTATGTAACAGAGGAGACAGCAAACAGTTTTATACCTGAGCGCTATTCTGCCTTAAATACCAACTACAATGCTTCTCCCTTAAAAAAATTAGACACAGAAACATTGTCAAACTGGGGGCTGGGGAGGATCAGCTTTTTTATTTCCAGATAGAGCACATTTATTCTTTTAATAGCAATATAACGTGAAGACTTCTATATCCATATATCTGTGGATACTTCAAGTCCATGCTACCTGGAATCAGTCTTTTACACGGTACTTTAGAAATCTTTAGTTAAGACTTTTAAAACCCTATCCAAATAAAATTACATTAGTCACAAAATGCATAACTGGACTATGCTTAGTTTAAAAAAACTTCATATGTATCTAAAGTTTATTCTGAAATATCAATCTAGGATAAAAATCCAGTTAATATTCCACATTTATTTTCCTTAGCTCTGTGCCCAATATTAATAAAGGTATATATGCTTACACAAATTTATTTGCTTAGTAATTAAGACCTAAAACAGAAAACGTGCATCTGAGCACTTACAGTTCAGTATTTATGTAAGTGTTTAAAAATAGAACCCCACATGGTGAAATTTAAACTCAACATAACATAAACCATTAAAAGCACAGATACATGGTACAATCAGATCTGGAAATAACTCATCATTCACCTGTTGAGGACAGTTATGCTTTCAGAAGAAATTCCTTCTGCATAGAGATCTACATTAACTGCCCAGGTATTCAGAGTTCGACAAGGACATTCAAGACCAGCACTTTATTTGTACGCCTGAATCAGAACAGAATTCTTCTGAAAGCCTAACTCCAGAAAGAGCAGCAGAGCTCTGCAGTTCTCAAGTCTGCTAGTTCACATATATTTTGCTAAAAAACAGCATTAAATCTATAAAGATAAAAATATATGCAACTTAGATCATGGTTGTATATATGTGTTTGACATTGAATAAGAGAAATGTTACTTCAAAAGCTGCATAAAGAACTATTACTGAGCCAAAGAACCTTTAAATCTGCAGCACTGGATAAATCTGTTTAAAAATTATCTTTAACTCACGCCAGCTTGTCAGCAATGGATTTGAATTTCAACAAATAATTTATCATGTACTCCTGATAATTTTTACCATTTGACTTTTGGCCAAAAAGTAAAGTCCTCTTTCCAATAAGGAAACCTCTCTCCAGCTAATGAGAAAACTTCAGTAATTAACAACCTCCAATAAAGTACATGGGGGAAGCTACTTTGAAAATGTTATGTTCAAAGACAATCTGTGGTTCAAAAGACTGCAGCGGAACAAAAAGAAGATTACTACAACTTTCCTCTTAAAACTTCAGAAAAACATTAAATTTAAAAAATTAAATTTTTATTTCTGGTCTATAAAGCATGGTCTCCATATCCCTCACTGGAAATGAACTGTTACAGTGTTTTAGTAGAGACCTCTCACAGGATCTTTAAAGTGTCTTTCCAACAGTAACAATACAATAAGGCTACGCCTTTCTGTAGGGGTCTGTCCTCCAAACTGAGAACACTCAAAGTCCAAAATGAAGCAAAAAATAAAACCTAATTTGTCCTTCAGAAGCATGCACAAGAAAATGGAAGTAAAGAAACATTTTTTAAAACATGCATTTTGAAGTGTCAGTACATTCCCTACATTTTCATACCTGGAATGACTTTTTGTAGAAAAACAACAGTTTAAGTTAGATACCATGATTTACGATACCATGCTCTTTTCCGTACGCCTCTTTTTCAATGTCTGTATAATCACAACAGAATGTTCTAGAGGTGACCAATAACACAGTGGTCTACAGCAAAAGCATCTCCCAAACCAGTATTTTGTGAATAGCATCTTCCCTACTTCATGAGAAACTATACAACTGATAAAATGAGCTGGCTCCTAAAACATGAAGTGAGATCCTCTCCTTTTTAATTTGTAAAGACCAGACTCATCATATATTTAGTGCAAAATCAAAATCTCATTTTTCCTCTAAGGAACAAAATTTTTAGTTCAAACTTCATTATACAGATTGCTCAGCCACAGACAGATACTGTTGAGAAGGCATATATAAAAAGATGCAGCTACAAAATGCTTCCATGTTCCAATAAAACTATAACAGAATCACTTTATATCATACCACCAGTAACCCAAATATCTATTAACAGAATAGTATTGAAAAAATATGTAAAAATCAGATTTTAAAATGATATAGTTGTTTCTCTACATAAGACATTACAGCTAGGAAAAGTAACCATCTGGCTATGAGAACAAAGCAAAAATGGCTAGTGCTTTAACTGCATCCCAATGGCCTATTGCTTCTGATTAAAAATTCCAGATGTATACAAGATATTCCCTACCACCCATGGCAATTCGGCAATACTAGTTTTCCTGTATTGATATAAGAGTTATGCCCAACAGCTGTTGGTATACTGATTTTCTAAGTGGTGTAATTACTGTCACAATTCTCATGCATTTTACAGTGTTAGAAAAGAAACAGAACACTAAAGTTGCTTCAAAAAATTAAATAGTTTACACAAAGATATCTTCACACTACATAGCTTCCAACATTTAGCTGTTCAAAACCTCTGACAAGCTAATTCATAGAATTTAGTTTTACAAAAGAAAAGAACAGCAAAAGTCTAAATTTACAGATTACCATTCCTAAGCGAAATAGGTTTTCATAGTAATGTCAAAAAAATATCGCCCTTCTGTGCTGTACATTATTTGTATGAACAAGTTTTATCAATTACTTTTAACAGATTCAAAATCTATAACGTTCTTATTCAGCGTGAAAATACCTTTGGTAACAAAAATGGGCCATGAGACATGACAGCTATTCAAAGTAATTAAATTTGTGATACGTTACCACTGTTCCATTATCTGGCATCATTGGTGTTCCCATATTTGCAGCTCCTTCTGGTCCCATGGAAGGACCAGGACCCATTGCAGGGCCAGGTAAAGTTCCTCTGTTGTTCATATTCATACCCATCATTGGAGGAGGGCCTTGGTTACCAGCAGGTGCTGGGCTAAACGCATCTATGCAAAACAATCTATACTTAGAGCTGTCCTATCTTAATTTTACAAGAACAAACAAACAATTTACAATATTTAAAAAGCCAAATGTACAAGACTTCAAATACTTGAAATAAAAAAAAATATATTCTTTGAGACTGTACATTTATCTCAATCATCTGCTTTTAAACAGATTCTCAATAATCCCTAGTATTTTGCATTACATAATTTGCCTCATGTGTTTGAAAATCCCAACCTTTATAGCTTTACAGGTGTACAGTTTCTGTGCAGGAACTGAAGCATTCATACAGCATATATATGCAGTATACACAGCACAAACTAGCAAAAATCTCAGGTCATTTTACAGATATTGCCAGCTATAAGGCAACTTGGCTCTTTGGGGATCGTAACACATGAAATGTACATTCACAAGTACTCTTCTATCAATATTATGTTAATTGTATCTAGTGCACAGTAAAAGCAATACCAGAGATGGTACTCAGCTTCACAATAAATTATTTGTAATACAGTATAAATAAAATCTTGTATTTAGCTGTAATTTATTATGGGAAAAGTACCAGAAAACTATGGGAAATTTTGCTAGAACTGAAAGTGACAGAACAGTCTCCTCCAAAATTCTGATTCAAAGTAAGAGGTAGAAAAAAGTTTGAAAACATATTTTGAGGAGATCATTTAGCTATAATATTGCACTAGGACACACCACTCTGCCAGTACTCATTAACATACTCAACATGTAGGTAAAAATGCCTTCATAACATTTTCTCCTGTTGTTGTAAGAAAGAAAAAAGTCTGATTATATAGCTCACATTTGCCATTATGAAATATCATCAAGACTGGTGATGATGCGTCCTCCTCCCCCACCCCCAAATAATCCATTCTTTTCAATGAAAATACCTTCAGAACCTAGCCTACACTTAAAAGTATACACCATAAGAATACAAAGAAGTCGGATACGTTGCTAGACCAATAAGCTTGTTATTTTAAAAATAAACCCTCTCACTTCTCATCACAACTGTACTTCTTCAGTAATGAATATATAAATGTACATCATTGTAAGCAGGCCATTCAGTACAGACAGAGTACTATGACTATCTGCAGGTATGCAAAATTACATCTGTATTACCTGCCTTGATTACACATATCAAAACAGTCAGTGAAACCATGGCATCCAAGATATTGCTGCTGAAACTGAAGAGCTGGGTTTGATCATTATGTCAACTGCAAACTGTTTAGCAAAAACAATCCATGCAACACAGCAGCACCTGTAAAGTGCTAAACAAGTTTACCAGAAGAGATAAAAATCCTGTAATCTTGGAAAGCAGAACTCTTTTGAGCATAGTAATGAGAAATTCCCAGATCTCTCCCTATGACACTAACTCAAAGATATGCTCAAGCTGGATGCTTCTTACCTACCCACATGATTAGTTCAGGAAGCGGGAAGAAGATCATACTACAATTCAACAGAATTACCCCTAAATTGTCTTTTAGTATCATCTATTAAAAGATGGTTAAGTAGAGAAGTAGAGAAGGAAAAGGAGAAGCCTAAACTGCCAATATAAGAAAGAACCTTTTCTTTTCAGACGCTCTTCCTACTCTGCAGGACTATCACGTTGGCAGCGATCAGTGCGGGCAGCAGCGCCATTACCTAAATGCTAAATTACTTGTTATTGGCTTTTCAAGCTAATTAAACTGAGCCAGCTGGCCACACACAGGTAGCATTACTTCGCTGTCAACTGCAACAAAGTTCTCATGCTCTGTATCATATAAATGCACCCAGAGTGCTTCTAGGGTGACATATAGCAACCTATACTATGACATCTGTAATATTAATCCTGTTTCAGGCATAGTCAGCTCTAACAGGAGGAAAATTACACAGTGCAATACCAGGAGAGAGTGGGGCCCTGCACACTTTCAGCAAGAGGCCACGACAGTATTTTAGCTTTAATTCAGAGGTCACCCAAAAGACGCTAAAACCTAACAACTTGATTGCCCGTTCTTTTTGGTGGGACACTGATGTTAGCAGTTAATTTACAGGACCAGGTTTAGTAACAGATGGAAAGCCATCACAGGTGTTCATGCAACAATGCACAGACACTAAAAAAAAAAGCCTTTTTCTGCAAACTGGAGGGCTGAAAAAGTACACTATAAATGTCTGAACTGCACATACCAAAGTCTGCCACAGTTGGCAACACGCCAGTCAATAATCCTCATCAATGCAGATAGTTCCCCAAAAAAGTTCCTTTTTTCCATATTGAAGTTTATAAGCTGCACTTAGCATTACAGATCCAGCTAAGTGCTAAGATGAGGCATACAAATTCTCCCAGAACTTCTCACTGAAAACTACAAGAAGGAGCAGTTCTGCACAAGTCAGCCCAACACTTATTAAATCTGTCACAGAGGTACTCTGCCTTCTATTAATATAATACAGATGTTTCCATTAGTGAAGATACTCCAGCTCTCTACTGTCCCACATGATGAAATGTTGCAAATGGCACGGGCAAAGGTCAGTTAAAAATAAAGTTACAATTCTGACAGCAATGTTGAGAATGGATGCAAAGGTCAGTAACTAAAGATCTACTATTTAAAGGTCTACTGTAAGGTTTCGGGGTCAGATTATTTTGGTTGTACTTGTGGAGTTGCTAAAATACTGGAGAAAACCCAAAATCTCTGTAGTCAGCTAACCTAAAATCTAGACTATTTGCTATGGCTATTTTAAAATAGCTGTTTAGTGTTACTATGACTTCTTTTGGAACTACACAATTTATTTCTAAAAGTATTAGGTTTAAAAGCTAGAAAACAAGACCATGAACACCACTGTTAAGCATTAAAACCTGGCAAGAACTGCAGTAAATACACACTTAAAATCTGGATGTAAAAAGTGTATCTTGTGGATCTGCGCAACAAAGTCTCTTAGTTAAATGAAGTTTTCAAGTATGCGGCAACGATACGCAAAAGTACAACTATAAAATAAAAAATTTAGTCACAATTTATGCTTCATTTCATTACTTATAGATAACTTCACAATGTCTTCCTTTAGAATTATTTTTAAAGCTTTTCATCATCCCCAAAAGAAAAAACCTATTTCTATATTGCAGCTATAAATGTGTCTCAATTAATAAATGCAAGGAAATAGTGAATAATGTATTTTAAAAGCTGAACCAAACAGATTTGTTAGTCTATTCATTAGTCTATAAACTCTCATTACTCAAAAAGGTCAAGCAACAATATTTATTAAGTTTTATATGTAATTTCAAGTTTAAAATACAGAAAAATAGTTCTACTACTTTTCCTTAAATTACCATCTTAATTTATTTTAAATTAACACTAGGAAGTTTCTGATAGATATATATTGACAGTTAATAAAGTTTAGAAAGATTTGGTGTTTTTGAAGAAATACTCTAAGTTTCAGTCTTGTTTAAAAGCAGATATACTGGATAAGTAAGATTTCAAACTGTTTCGGTCTGCATATATGGAGCAAGCACTAATTATCATACTTTTCTAGATTTCACAGGAACAGTTCTTAGCAGTGACAATATTTAAAGTCACAAGAGCAAACTGAGAATATTTGCAAATAAAAAGTTGCAGTAAATTAGTAGAACACCAACCACGTTATTCATTAATCGCATCAAGAACTTGCCAATTTTGACCGCTCCATCATTTCACTGCATGCAATCACAGTATAAACTTCTCTGAATAGACAGTCCCTCCAAAAGAATGCCAAATATTTTTTGAACATAAAATTCCTCTTTTGTATCAGATAATTTCCAAAGCATCATCTTTCCCTGATTTTTGTTTTTCTTAACTTGCACATCTTATTTTTTTTCCCATGTATAGACAAAGCAATAAAATAGAGATACACCTTGGCGGGGGGCAGGGAAAGCTGTTCGGAAGCAAAATATGTGGGATTTTTTACTTCCTTATATTGCTTACTCCTTTTTACCAGTAGTTGTCACTGATTAATAGTGCTTGAGTAACATGTACAGTCCCAAAGAAAAAAAATTACATTACAGAAGCCTTTTTCCTTCAGATCCCTACCTCCCATGTTAATTGCTCCACGAGGACCCATATCACCCATTCTCATTTCCTGTTCTCTCTGAAAGTAAACATAGTTTTCATGATCAACCTATCATTCTTAGAACTTAAAACATTCCCATTTACTCCATAAAAATAAAAACGTTAAAATTTTCAAAAGTTTCCATCGATTAAAAATAGTACAAGGAACGAAGTTAACTATACTCTCCTGTTTTTATAATATCAAATGGATTAGGAAGTTCAATATAGCAACGCTGTACATTTTTGTGTGCTAAAGATTAAATATCACAAGTTTAATTTTTCATATGCAGCAGTCTAAAGCTCCCAAATAGTTATGCAATCAATCCATCTTCACGCAGTGTTTTTCACTAATAAGAAGTATATTTACATTTTAACTGTAAATAAACAAGTCTTATAACAGTATTGCCTAAAGGCCGTGGTTCAATAATAGTCAATCTGGCTTCATGATTCAAAAATGCTTGTGTTGACTGGAAACCAAGCTCTGATGTGTTATATTATGGTATATAAACTCAATCTGCCAGATCATCTTTTTTCCAATAGTTTTGACTTAACCTGGTGGCAGAACGTGTTCTGATAAATGATATTATGCTATTGATATGCTAGTTCAGATACTGACCATGCTTTTGAAACCAGCATAAAACTGTAGTATATTAGCAGAAACTATAACATGCGTTTATACTAAACGGACAAGTAAGTCAAAGTGATCCAGATTCAACTGATGCTCAGTCACCCAACAGCAAAAGAGTTCTGACATTGCTAACCATGAACCACGGCCTGCTGTGAAACAATACTCAAAGGATAGTACCCAGAGTGGCAAAAAATGATCACTTAAAGGAAAACAAATTATACTATCAGAGATAATTTCAAGGATTGCAGTATTACTCATTACATCAAAAGGATTAAATACAAACAAATTCACAGTTCAAAACAAAAGCTAAAGAAACTCTTCTCCTTAATTAAAAATTTTCTCCTTAATTGAAAATTTTCTCCTTAATTGAAAATTTTCTCCTTAATTTTTTACAAGAATGGTAATGTATTCTGCTTGAGCAAACACACGTGTGCTAAGAATAAGCATATGCAAAACAATTTACCTCATTTTGAACATCATTCCACTTACGATTTAAGAGCATAAGTACAGATGCACTTTGAAAACAAATCCATATACGAGGCAACTAATCAGTTTATAATCAACTTTTACATGGAAATATTAATAAAACCAAAATACATTCATAGGATTTTTACAGGTTGACAAAACTCCACTTTGGTCAATCATATTTGGGATGCTAAACGTGAGTCTTCTATCTCCACACACTTCAAGTGGCAGACATCATTGTTTGACAGAACAGAATCAATAATTTTGTAAAAATATCCTGTTATGGGAAATTGCCATAAGATATACGACAAAAAGCTCTCAAGTTAACAACTTTGTTTCTAGTAGCTCATATTAACCTAGAAAATGTACTTAACATAAGAAGATTACACACTATTTTCAAAAGAATATGACTTAGCGTGGAGAGGAAAAATAAAGCCTGGTAACTAAGAGATAGATGCAGATATTAAGGTCCAGCTACAAAAGGCCATTGATGGAACACTAAGGAGGATCTCTTCTTTTGACCCTAGAACCCATGTTAAAAATTTGTAACAGAGCATGCAATGACTTTGACAGACCTTTCACAGTAACATCCATTGGCATTTTAAGTAAAATCAGCACCCCTACTAGGATCAATCAAACCATAAAATGATAGCAACATCACAAAATCAGATACAATTTTGTTGATAATAGTCTGCTTGTACACTTCAGCCCTGACATGAAGAAGCAAAAAGGAAAGTGGTATATCATCCCTAATGTCAATCCCTAGCTCAAACTGACAGAAAACCACCATGGCTATCAATTTATATTCGTTAGACTGTGTGTGCACACATACAGGCATATGTGCACATGCAACAGGACACGCCACAAACAGTTGTGAGATACTCTTTAGCTACAAGGCAAAGTATCAGATTTTGCATTAGTGCACATAATTTACTTGATTCATGTCAGGTTCAACTGCAAGTTGCTTAGTGTTTGGTCTTTTTTTAATATGACAAGTGCCATATAAGGCAGGGTCAAGTACATCACTGGCTAGCTACGGATGTTAAGTACTGAGCTATAAAGCTGCACTAGCTCGCTCTGGGCAGGGCACGTCTCAAAGATGAAGGACCACCGCCTCCCTAAGATCCTGCTCAACGGTGAACTTGCCGCTGGC